GGTAGGAAAAATAAATCATAGCACACATGATAGGGATTGTACACATGACCCATATATTCTAAATATGAAAAACACACGATTTTATTGGCTTACAGAGTTAAGACGTTTCACATGTATTTAATTTGAGTAACTGAGATTCTGACTTGATTGCAGGTTTCAGTGATCCTGTGGAAATGTACAGCAATGTCCCCTCTGTTTGATCTAAGCAGTAGAAACCCAGTTTCCAAACCCCAAAGATTTTGTCAATGACATTTGCTTGCATGACTTTCTCCCACAAAATATGCAGTCAATTCACTTGACAGTGTTTACAACAAAAACAACTTATATAGCACCTCAGCTCCACCATTCTCAAGATCCAGCTCATTCAAAACTCTTGACACCGCATACTAACCCAGACCAAACTCCGTACCCATATCTCACCAATTCTGGCCAGGCTCCACTGGTTCCCCATCACCGAACGGGTAGTGTCTCAGAGGAGTGGCGGAGCCTGACTCTGAGCCAGGGGGAGGGGGGAGGTGGCTGTAAGCACAACAACAACAACAACTTGGATTTGTATAGCGCCCCCCCCACCCGGACGGCATCTTAGAGCGTTTCACAGTAAGGAATCCCGCGGCTGAGCCAGGGGGAGGGGAGGGGAAGGTGACCAAAGGCGCGGTCGAAACAAAAGGTCTTCAGAAGGGATCTGAAAGTAGGAAGAGAGGGAGCTAGGCGAAGGGAGTGAGGAAGGGAATTCCAGAGCCTGGGGGCATATTGGCTGAAGGTACAGCCACCGAGGGTGGAGCGGAGGACTAGTGGAGGAGTGAGGAGGTCAGAGGGTGGCCGGGGGGGGTGCAAAGGAATGGAGGGATTTGAATACAAGGGTGTGGATCTTGAAATCGATCCTCTCTGGGGTAGGCAGCCAGTGCAGTCTGGCAAGGAATGGGGTAATCAGGGAGCGGAGTTTCGTGCGGGTGAGAATGCGGGTGGCAAAGTTTTGGATGAGGATTTTATGGATGGTGGTGGATGGAAGACCGGCGAGGAGGACGTTAGAGTAGTCTAGCTGAGATGTGACATGGACCAGACTTTCAGCGGCTTTCGGAGAGAGGTATTTGCGGAGATGGGCGATGCGTCGGAGGTGGAAGAAAGTGGGGCTGGTGAGGGACTGGATGTGGGAGAGGAAGGACAATTGGTGTTCGAACCTGATGCCAGACTTGACTTGAAGATATTAAAGGGAACCAAGGAGCATAGCTTCCGTCTTGTGAAGGGCTGAGACATCTTGAATACATGGCTCTATATGAAATGCGGTGATTATTATTATTATACGAGTGTTATTGAACCATGAAGACTGGGGTCCATATGGGTGCGTGACAAGATTCATTAAACAGGAACTGAAACCACAGCCATTGTCCCAAGAATGTACTCTGCAGTTTATGGTGAACGCACAACATACTGAGGACCATGAGTTGTCCCTACCACCTCTAGACTAGGATTGTGACATGAGGGCAGCCTATCATCCCCTACACCTGGGTGAGGGAAGTCTGAGTGCATGCTGTTTTGACACTGCCTCCTCATATCTCTGTGTCTCCCTTTTGCTGCCTGCCACAATCTTCAAATTTAACAGGTCTGGTATTCAAGCCTCCTGCAGAATGAGTGAGAAAACACTGTCAATACATAAACAAGTGGAGTCCTCTCTCTTAGTGGTTGGAGCAAGATAACTTACCCAATGTTTTACTCTGTCCGGGAATCGAGCCCAGGTCCTCTCGCTTGCCGGGCAAGTACTCTAACCACTGAGCTACAGAACTCGACTACAGTAAAGAACAGTACGCTGAAGTCACCATGTATTTGTAACTCTATCCAGCTGTCTAAATGATACCAGTTCAAGCATGAAATAAGACTTCATCTATCTTAAAAAAAGTTCTTAATGGCAGCACAAGACAAAAGTAGAAAGCTCAACTAAACCTAATGCATTTCTGATTGCACGTTTCAATAGTAATCCCTCCAAAGTGAAAGGCGCTATGTAAATGTAAATTTGTATTGTATTGTATTAATTCCAGGGCGAGTTGATTCACTGAATGAAAGTATTGCTATTCATTTGCTTTGCATCTCAAATAGGCAGAGCCATTATACAGCTCCCAATCTGTACGACAAACATGTGCTAAGTTATACTTGTATGACTGACCCAATCTGTCCTACGTAGAAGCCAAATGTAATCTGTCCCAACTTTGACATGTTTTGTAATACACGTTTTCACTAACTATAATTGACATTAACTTAAAGCACAAATAGACCCAACTACAGAAACATTAATACTGCTAGTTGAAACCAAAGTACTTAATATTTATTGGGTGTAATAATTACTCTCTACATCGAACCATCACCAAAGCATGAGTGACAAATGAGAAACGATATTAGAAAAAAACTAAGTCAATTGATCATTTATGCCGCAGATTTTCATCATAATACTTGGTAAACATTGAACAGTGAGGTTTAATCAGTTACTGAGGCACATTCAGGTGTTGGTAGGGGACATGAAGTAGTTTGTGTTACTCTGGCTATGGCACTGCTGACTCTGTCCAAAAGTTTTTCAGTTGCAAACTTGTTATTTACATTTACCAGTTTGCTTTTCAGTTTACTGTTTGCTGAAATACAGACAGTTATTGGTATTGAAAGAACAAAGACTACTTTCTGCGATGGCATTTGGAGCAGTCAGATTGATGGCTGATCGAGAATAAAGTGCAAGAAGCAGGTCAGTATTATAATAATAATAATCCTTGCATTTGATATAGCGCTTTTCACGTCGGGAGGACGTCCCAAAGCGCTTCACAGAACACACTGTAAAGTGAATTGACTGTATATTTGTGGGCGATCGCGGCAGCCAATTGCACACAGCAATGTCCCACAAACAGTCGTAGATTGAAAATGACCAATTTAGTATTGTTTTTGGTTTTGGAGGGATTATTATTAGGCTCTGTGTGGAGTAAGGAAACTTGCCCAAGGTTTCGCCCTCTGCCTGGAATTGAACTCAGGTCTCTCGCTTGCAAAGCTAGTGCTCTAACCACTGAGCTAAAGGACTCCACAATTGGCACTGATTTCCTACATGCTGGTATTTTCCTGCACATTTAAGTTGATATTAACATCTTCATATATGTTAAAAAAAATTCTGATTTAAAAATAATAAAATTCAAAATATATTTTTTTATAAAATATCCCTTTTAATATGTCCACTTTCTTCTACCTTCCTCTGATTGAGCTCAACGAGTGAGGCAATAATATGAATATTTTTCTACATCAGAGAAAGGACCCTCACTGTGGAGGTGGATTTTCTTCCATCTATGAGGCTGAGGAATTGAACCCTGCAAGTTGCTCATTCAGTCATTTGGCTTCATACAAACATAGTTCCCTAGAGTTCAAATGTGAATCAAGGTTATTAATTCGAGGTCTTGGCTGTGAATACTGCTGTAGCTGAAACAGTTGAATTGGATTAACCTGATCTTTAACTTGAACACGACCCACAAGTGAAGCTTTCATACAGCAAAGTCGTGGATGAAACATTGCAAGGTACAAACCTAAACACGGTACTATGGTAAGACATGATTGGTAGGGATCACTAAAGCCTTTTTTTTAAATTATCAAAATAATCCCCCAACTGTTTTTCAGTAAAAACAACAAAAGAAAAATGGTAGGGGGTGGGGATTTAACACCTATCCCCAACCAAGTGAATTTGAGATTGATTGATTGATTTGTTTGTGTTTGTCTGTTTGTTTGTTTGTTTACTTATTTATTTTTAGAAGGTGCATACCTTTAAACATGTATCTCTGCAATGCCAATTTTAGAAATCCTCATGAAAACCTGGTTCCGACAATGTGTGAATTGATTTTGGTGATGATTTCCTGAACCGGCTTTTGGTGAGGAATCATTGGCTTTTCGTCAGAATATCTGGAACTGGCTTTCATCCAGATTTCTGGAACCAGCTTTTCATTGGGGGGGGGTTGTGGGAAGATAAGAATTGAGACGAATATCATTTTTTTAAAAATATCCTTAATAGTTGGCAATAGCGAACACATAGGGCAGGGAATGAGTATCATACACAAATTCATATTACAAGTAAAAAACTTAATTCATACTGCAAGCTACAAAATAATTTGCAATATTGAACCTTAACATTAATTGCTTCCTCAAGCAATGAGCATTTAGTTCAGAATCGAGAATATATTTGTGATGAACTTTTGCTTGCGGTTGTGTTAGGTAAATTAAATCCACAAACCAAACTAAATTACGACAACAGCTTTGAAGCCTTTTGGTTGAAATAAAACAAGGCGTCTAGATTTGAACCCATATCCGGCCACTGGTGCCCCTGATATACAGGGATAGTCAATACCCAAATGATAAGTTGATATTTCTGGAATACATCTCACAGACAAAAGTGGGAGGTAGCCTTAGCAATAGGACTGACAAGAAGGTCAAATAGATGTGCTTGGAACAATGAACAGAATCATGTATCTGTGAACAACACAGCTTTCAGCTGTGAATAACATGCATCTAATGACACAACTTGGAGATCATATAAAATGTGCTTCAGGAGTCACTTTAGATAGAAAAAAAATTCCCTTTGTGAAAGCTGCCCGACATTTCATCTTAACCCCCTCCTCTATGCTTCAAGTATTCTCTCTTGCACTCAGAGCTGACTTCACGATTGAACAAGCCTGAAAGCTAAAGCATTTGCATCCCTAGAGCGTCTGCTGTGAGGCCTCATTGCTTTTCTCTCTCCAACAAATACAGTCACTTTTGTGGTTCTTTTTCCTTGAGTTGTCAGGTTTTCAGGCAAGCTGCATGCAACATATTTCCATGACACAATCAGGTTCAGGAAAGCTCTTGAATCAGAAGTGACTCCGCTGGTGTTATTACTTAAGACTCATGAAGTTGGGAGTGGGTTAGATGCAGTAGTGGAACAGATGGAGGAAGGGTGATGGGAATAAACAATGACAAAGTCTTGGTGAGCAACACTACGGTATGGAGCCTACCATGTTGCTCTGGGAATGGGTGGCCCCATATGTGGTGATTCCATTTGATGGTGCAACTGATTGTGGCAAGTCTGGCTGTAGAACTCCTCTTCGGTCAACTAAACTATTGTTAAAAGAGAAACACAAACATGAATTAGTTCTACTACAACAACTTGCATTTATATAGCGCTCTTCACGCAGGGTAGGTTCCCGGAGCACTTGACAGTAGCAGAGTTTGTCCCCGAGCCAGGGGGAGAGGGAGGGGGGGAGGTGACCGTAAGCACGATCAAAAAAGGCCTTCAGGTGGGACTTGAAGGTGTGGAGGGAGGGGGCAAGGTGGAAGGATTGAGGGAGAGAGTTCCAGAGTTTTGGGGCGTAGTGGCTGAAGGCACGGCCACCGATGGTGGAGCGGAGGGGACGAGGGACAAACAGGAGGCCGGAGGCAGCTAAGCGGAGGCAGCGAGTGGTAGAGTGGGAGGTAAGCAAATTGGACAGCTAGGGAGGTGTGAGGGCATGAAGGGATTTGAAAACAAGTGAGAGGACCTTGAAATCAATCCATTAAGTAATTGGAAGCTAGTGGAGTCTGGCAAAGACTGATGTGATGGGGGTACGAGTTTTGTGCGGGTGAGAATCGGGTGGCGGAGTTCTGAATTAGTTGAATTTTGTGTATGGTGGAGCTGGGGAGACCAGTGAGGAGGGCATTGGAATACTACTATCAAAGACACTAAGGGTCTAAGATTTTAACGAGAAGTTTTCTTTTTTTTTGAAGAGTTGCAAAGAATTATAATTAAAACTAGTGGGTGCTGGTGACAAGAACAACTTACCCTTATAATTGCACTGTTCATGTAAAATAACAACTTAAAAGTAATGCTGGCATGAACCACCAGGTGGCAACAAATCCCTCTATAGTAAATGGCCAGGTCCTCGGGCCTCTCAGATGTTTCAATCTGAGCTGGCCAAGTTTTAGTTTGTTAAACGTTATAATATAATAATAATACTCCTTGCAATCGATATAGCGCCTTAACATTTTGCCCTGTCTGGGAATTGAACCCAGGTCCTCTTGCTTGCGAAGCACTCCAGGACGCTACCCCCGTGAAGGACACTATATAAATGAAAGTTGCTGTATTGTTGAGTGCCCTAACCACTGAGCTACAGGACTCCACATCAGGCTCTAAGTTTTTTGCTGTTAGATATTACTTTTGCGGTATTGATTTACTAAAAGCCTGTTTGTTGACCCAGGAGAAGACAGATTTGAGCCTTTTCGCAACAGATAAATGCTGGAAAGAAATATCTAACAAAACAAATAACGTACAGCCTAATGTAGGATCTAAAATTTTACAAAGTAAAAATGACTCGCCTAAGTGGGTGCTAGGACCAGGAAAAACTACCCTGGTAACTTTTACTGGTGTTACTTTATGGTTACTTTATGAATAAAATAATTGATGAACATAAATCCAAATACTCTATAAATATTAACCAAGCTCGAGGGAGCTATCTATTTCTGGTTTGATTAGAAGACAACACAAATAGTGTCCGAGAATCCTAAACATTGTTTTATCCTCCAGCACACTGTTTCTCACCTCGGTGGCAATGGCCCACACAGAGCAGCACAGCAATTAGTGAAGATATTCCCATAGCTGTATGGATTGTAATTGTCTTTGCCTCTTTTGCTTGACCAGGATCCTTTAATCTGCAAGGGCAAAATTAAACATCGTAACTCTGTGTCATTACAACTGTAACCAACCCTTCAGCAAATCATCGGAAACCGGTTCAAATATTTCAAGATAAAATCCCCTGGCATTCCAATTTTAAATAAAGTTGTGAAAATCCTTGTTTAAAAATGACTGCTAATTCTGCTGCCTACTATAGAGACACACAGGGTGGTCCAACTGGCGGCCCACGGGCCCATTTCATCCAGCCCCCACCCCCCACCCCCCACCTGGCCCACCCGCTCACTCCATAACCCGTAAATGTTATGTTTCTGGAAAAGAAACACAAAAATATTGCTTATGTGGCCCACAGACGTTTCGCAAATAGGGCATCTGTCCCTCGGCAACCAAAAGGGTTGGATCCCTAACACATGAAAACATTTTCTAAAATAAAAGACATAGCAAAATGGTCGCTATTTTTAGCAATCAGTGTGAGATGGAGCCCGAGTGTCTTTCATTCAAAAATGTAAATTACCCAACAACAAAATGGTAGCTTTGGAAGTTACTGTTGTAATCTATTACACCTGCACCTCCATAGAAAACTAAGAATCAACGCAGTAGTTAGGCTGAAAGAAAGCAAATGCCAAGCACTAGGCAATGAGGTGTTTTTATTGTTGTAAAATCGTTGTGGGCCTCTTTGCCCTGAATGGATGACCAGTGCCTTCTTTTTATTCTTTTTGCCCCTGTGACTTCACTCAAACGGCAGTAACTAATGCTGGAATAGCAATCCCAGACCAGATACCTCATCCCAGTTATTGTTCTTATTTGCTCGAGCTGAGATAGTGAATGTTGTTGAGCACCTGATTCAGGACATTTCAGCTAAACCCAAACTTGCCTGAGCACCCAACCATAGATAGCACCGTAGAAATTTAAAGCACAGAAAAAGGCCGTTCAGCCCATCGTGCCTGTGGTGGCTTCATTAAAGAGCAATTCTTTCAGTCCCAAACTAAATACATGTCCTAAATTCAGTCCTGAGTGCAACTCATGTACATTCTAGCCAGGCAGACAGGGATCAGAAATGGCAATTCTGGCTTATTGCCTTTTCTCTCTCCCACGCATGCCAGTTATAGCACACCAACAAGGCCCTGGTTGAAGAGTTAGCTCAGACCTCTCAAATGATTGCCTCTCAAATAATTGATAATACATTTACCCACCGAGCTCTTCATTACCATCTCTTTACCCCAGCTTTTGAAGGAAGGTCCTGCACCTTGCTATCACTGTGTTGCAATTGATGACAATATCACTGTGGCAGGTTTACTACTATACACTTCCTGACAACTACAAGTCCATTCTTTTTAGTTGAACATCATCAGGAAGAGATTTAAACAAGAGGAATCATGGTTTGACCGTTTAAACTAAATATTCAGATGAAACGGTTACGAATGTTCGGTCTAAATGAAGCAAACTGCTTGAGACATGTCCTAACCCAACTCTTAGGAAATGATAAATAATTACTGTAAATGTAATGCAAGTTCTGTCTAAAATGATCCAAAATACTTACATCTTCGTTTGTGGTCTGATTTGAGCTGATCAGGTATGTGTGAAACCCTGACAGACCAAGGATTGACCAGACAGAGAAAAAGCAAACTACAGCTTCTAGCACAGTAATAATGAAGTCAAGGAACAATTAGATAGGATTGAAAAGAAAAACAAACTGTATTAATAATAATAATAATTCTTGCATTTGATATAGCGCCTTATTACATCATTGAAACATGTCAAAGTGCTTCAGGGAATACACTGTAAAGTGAATTGACTATGTTTTGTGGGCGAAACGCGGAAGCCAATTGCACACAGCAGTTTCCCACAAACAGCCGTGGATTGAGCGACCAAATTATTATTATTTTTTTACAATTTATTTTGGTTTAGAAGGGATTATTACCACCGGAAAAGTGATCCGCCAATCGACTGACAACCGGGTTCCTAATTACTAACCTGATTGCTGCAACTGTTTTGTGAATTCTGAGGCTATAACTCTTAAAATCACTCCAGGTTATACAAACTGCTACGAATAGTTTGTTTGTTTGATTGAATGTAGGAGTGGTTGTTTGTTATTGAGAGACTCTTAGTAAAATCTCTCCTCGGGAGAGAGGGCAATCTAAGCATGCATCACCATGGGCTGTTTTCACACAGTTCCTAGCAGTCAGCAACTAGATAATACCAGTCACTGGTAGCATGGAGTCATCCATCTCAGCTCATGTTAACTCTACAAGCCAAATCCCTAAAGGGTAGGGTGGACCTAGCTGGGAAAGCTTGCCAGACAGCAATATCAATGGCAAGCTATGTGGTTTTAGCTGGTTAGACTCCAGCAGTTACCCCAACTCTGGGATCCCCAAGCCTTAGCTCTTGCCAACCTGCACCTAATACTTTCCAGAATTAGGTAAACAGGATGTGTCCCTCCAGAGAGAGAGTGCGCATTCCATTCCAACAATTTCTCTCTGGGATTTCCATATGTAGGTGAGATGCATGGAAACCTCAGCTTGGTTTGGATGCTCTTAAGCACCGTGATGGGTTTCTGCCCGTGTCAGACAACCGGCTGAGCAAAACAAAACAGAGCATATTGTCTGAGCCTAATGGTTGCTTCAAAAAATAGTAATGTTTGCACAGAAAATAAACAAATGATATAATTGGTGATAAATTTGTTACAATTATTTAGATCGTAAACTGTCTAGCATCGCTAGAAGTCCAGCATCGCCTCGCAGTTGGCATTTGAGGTGAGGATGGGTGAGCAGTGAGAGGGTGGGAAGGAGCCAGTTGGTGATGGAGAAGAGGAGCCTGGGGTTGTCCTTAACCTCCAAGATTGTCTTGGAGTAGAACGACAATTTAGCTGAGGCGACGGCGGAGCAGTAAGATTTGATAAGTTCCAGCCAGATCTGCAGCTGGACCGATAACATAACATAAATAACAACTCTAATGTTGTACATTACTTAAGAATAAATGCAATACTTGGGTCATTTTGAAATGAATGCTCATCAGTACATAGAATGCTAAGGTGAGCATTCAATGTTTTACCAGGTTTGATAGTTTCACACTAGAAATAGACATGACACCAGCACTAAAGAATGCAATTTCTCTTCCTTCTTGGGAGGATTTTTTTCACACAGAACAATAAAGGATATCTTGCAGGACTGTCTTTTAGTGCATTTAAGAATCCTGTCATTTGTGAACCTGGATAAAAACATCCAAAAACAAAATCAATTAATTAAAATGCAAGGTGATGAATCTCATTAGTTTGGTTAAATTGTAAACATGACTAAAATCAGCAAGAGGTGAAGACTAACAACAGATTTCCCAATGAAGTGGCCTCCACTAGCCCCTGTTTTAACACTCACTGACCTTCCCATGTCTTCGCTCATTTGTCTTTTAGACTTCCAAAATTTCACTCAACACCTCTTCACATGGTGCTACTAATTCTAAGATGTGTACTGATATTACTAGCATATTGACACAACCACCGCTGTCCTCTTACTGAAAATAATAGGCAATGACTCTCCTCCACACTGTGCCAGGTCCAATACCTTCTTATGCTTCCACTGGAGGCTAATTTAAAGTCGTTTGGCCTGTTTGTACTTAAAAGGTGGATTGCAGTAGATCAGTGCAGAGAGAGGTAAGATACAACAACTTGCACTTATATAGCGCCCTCCACGCAGGGTAGCAGCTCAGAGCGCTTAACAGTAGTGAAGTCTGACTCCAAGCCAGGGGGGAGAGGGAAGGCGACTGTAAGCACGGTCGAAGAGGAAAGTTTTCAGGCGGGATTTGAAAGAGGAGAGGGAGGGGGCGAGGCAGAGGGATTGAAGGAGAGTGTTCCAGAGTTTCAGCGGGTAGTGGCTGAAAGCGCAAACTACGATGTTGAGGCAGACGGTGCGAGGGGCGAGCAGGAGGCCGGTGCCAGTCGAGCGTGGGCTCCGGGTGGTGGATTGGGGAATGAGGAGGTGGGAGAGGTAGGGAGGTGCCAGAGAGTGAATGGATTTGAACACGAGTGTGAGGATCTTGATGTCAAATACACTATTATACACTCAATCATAGTCAGTTGAAGAATATTGTTTTGCATGAGGAACTTGCTCATTTAAAAAAAATGTAAACTGTTGCTGCACCTATGTTGAGCATGATTTTGTTTCCCTTTAAACATCTATTACTCTAGAATCAAGATGTTGCTTGGAGAAAGGTCATGTTCATGATGCTTGTAAATAAGACGATAGAAAACAACAGCTTCTACAGCAACCACAGATAGTCATACTGTAAAATAAATCGACTGTATATTTTGTGGGCGAAACGCGGCAGCCAATAGATCACAGCAGTGTCCCACAAACAGTCGTGGATTGAGTGACCAAACTACTTTTTTTTAAGCAATTATTACCCCCCGGAAAAACGATTCACCAATTGACTAACAACTAGGTTCCTACTTACTGCTAAGTAAACAAAGGCGTGTGGAGTAAGGAAACTTGCCTAACGTTTCACCCTGCCCGAGTAATGAACCCTCTCGCTTTCGAGGCGAATGCTCTAACCACTGAGCTACAGGACTCCAGATCCAAATGAGGAGAGATGAGCTACTGTAAAAGTCATGCCGTATTTATACAGCAAATATTCCAACCTAAAACAGTACTTACGGAGAATGACATGTGTGATGACGAAAGCGAAGATGAAGACTGTCAGAAATGACAGTGATAAAATAAACATGTAAAAATATCTGTAGTTCCTTTTTCCCACGCAGTTGCCTACCCAGGGGCAGTGGTGATCAAATCGTTCTAAAGGAGGAAGAAAATATCAGAGAAAATTATAGTTATAGTTTGTGAATTGAATCATCCTTTCACAGTTGATCTTATATTAAGCTCAAATCAGTTTTAATGTTTAACTTGGGAAAATTTTGGTCTGCTTATCCTACTTCCAATATTTGACCCTCATAAGATTACTCCAAATTATTGACAAAAACTAATTGTGATTCCTATCTTAATCTATCAATAAAAACAAACAGAAGTTTAGTTGACTTGAAACATAAAGTCAGCATTTTCAATTTATCTTGCTTTATAAATGGGATTTCAGAAAAAAAACCTATGAACACAGAACCGCTCCATTAGAATCGTCTAATTGTTATATATTTAGCAATGAAAAAATGCAGCTCCTAATAAACTTGAGGTTGGAAGTGAACCAAAGTTGCATTGAAATACTTCATACATCTCTCCTTTAAAAGAATGCAATGATAAAAATTAAAATGTATGCGAAAACTGCTTCTGGGGAGTATTGTACATATAACGGTGGATTAATTATCTTTCAGTAGTTGTAATGATTCATTCACTGGATTAGGGTATTCACATCCATTATCAATATGGTTTCAACAACAACAAGTTACACTTCTATCATGCCTTTCACGTCAGGAAGATGCTTCACACAACTGATTGTGGAGGATCATCTAAATGTTATATATTTAGCAACGAAAAAATGCAACTCTTAATAAACTTGAGATTAGAAATGAACCAAAATTGCATTGAAATAAGGGAGATTAGGCATAGCTGGGGAGTAAGGGGAAAGGGGCTGAAAGCATGGTTGAAGAGAGAGGTTTTTGAAGGAGGAGGGAGGGGGCAAGGCGTCGATGCAGAATGGCTGAACAGTCAGCCACCAATAGTGGATGAGTGAGAGCTGGATGTACAGTTTGAAGGGCAGCTGAAGGTCACACAAGACATTGAGGTTCCATACTGGCTCCTTGGGGTGGAGTGAGTGAGCTCTCATGCACATTGATGTGGTCAGCGGCCATGGTGGGCACTGTCAACATCGAGCTGTAGAAAGTGAAAACTCACCTAGGTTTGATGTTTGACAGGTACCTTGTCTAACCGTCTTGTCGGCTCAGGTGGGCTGGATAGTGGGAGTCTGGTTTTAGGTACGTAGGGATAGCATTTGTGATGTTAACAGTTTGCCTGATATGTCGGGAGCATGAACCTAGAGAGGGTCTGCTCCACCTGCCGGTAGCCATTCAAATGTTCATTAATTAACACAAGGAATGCTTCAAAACACCACAAATATTACCCCGTAAGCAAAGGAGGAGATTAAGTCCATCAAACATGTTCCCCAGTTCAATAGACCTTAGCTCTAAATTCAATACAAAACATTGTATTGTATTGTAAATTAAGATGTGTCCCATCATTTTTGGGGGGGAATATGTTAATTTTCCATGATGTGTGCTTTGGGGCACAAAACGTCATGCGACTGCCAGGATGGTGGAAGGCGAACTAGATGGACCTTGGTCTTCTTTTGCCAGCAAATTCTTATGTTCTTATGCATCTTTGTCTGGATACAGTCAGTACCCGTGTCCAGCCCAGTGAAAGATCCTGAGACAGTGCATTCGGCCACCCCCCTATCCCTGCCCTCCCCACCCTCCAGCCCTCCTGATCCTAATCCCCTGCTTGGATCCAAATCCCTGAATGTCCAGCGCCTCATGTTGTCCTCCTGACATGAAAGGCACTGAGTCTGTGTAATTTATTATTTGTTATTGAGATATCCATCTGTTTTTAGTGTGGGTGGTGGTGGGGGGGATTTCTAAGTAGAAAATTGCATCATTTTTTCTGTGATATCAAGACTGCATGTCTACACATAGAAATGTCCTCTATTGAAATTCATTATGTAATCGAGGGCCAGCCTGACAACATTGAGCTCAATCATCCCTCATACCACAGTAACCAGACTTCCATAGCTCTGACGTGAGGCACATTCCTCTGCTCCCTGGCTATTACCCACTCTCGTCAGTTCCTGTAGCTGCATAGGAACACCTCCACCTGCCCTCCCTCAATGCACATATATTTATAGACAACAACAAGGTATACAATTTTCTACTCTCTTGGCCTCAATTAGTCAACTTTTACCAGACACAGACAGGAACTCGACCTCTCACGAAAAGAGAAAATCTCTGACAATCCAGCACATCTCTTCCTCCCCCCCCACTCTCCCCCGCTTACTGTGCTAGAGATTAAGATCAAATTCCAATGTGGGGCTTCAACCCATGATCTTCTGACCCAAAAGCAAGAGTGCTGAATAGCAACTGAGCCAAATCCGACACACAATAAAATAAATGACCCTGTAGTATGTGTACAAACTCCATCTCAGTTTTTTAAATTAGAAATTGTAAGTTTGCTCACAATAACCTTTGTTTTAAATCTCAATATCATTAATGCTGAGTCGAGTTGAAAATAAATCATTCGAAGTCAAAAAGAAAAGTATATTTTTTCTGTTACAAAAGACTTTGAAATGCCTCGCAAGAGAGTTACTGCAAGCGCTCCGGGATCCTACCCCACGTGAAGAGCGCTCTATAAATGTAAGTTGTTGTTGTTTTACTCACCGACACAATTATCACAAAGGCTACAGTGAGAGGCACGGGGCGGCCGGAAGATCTTACAGGTGAAGCAGTATTTCAGCTTAACCATTTGCCCATTGATTGTCACCTCTTTTGTTCTGGGGGGAGATCGGTAACCACCGGCTGAACCTGAGCCATTGGTGACATCTAGAAAAGAGAACCACAGTCGTTTCTTAGACACCTGGAGGAACAACATAACTTGCTCTTTGCAAAGCTCTGCGTGTACATTATATTATATAAAAAATCCTATCAAAAAGCATACCATTTTAAACCAAAATAATCCTTTTAAAGTCTGCGAAGGTCAAATCCTTCTTTGAAAGTAAATGCCAAGAATTTTGTCCGTGCATAATTTGTACTATCACAACAACAACTCGCATTTACACAGTGTCCCTCGCGCAGGATAGCGTCCCAGAGCACTTGACAGTGGTGGAGCATGACACTAAGCCAGGGGATGGCGACCGTAGACAGGGTGGAAGAGGAAGGTCTTCAGGCGCGACCTAAAGATGGGGAAGGAAGGGGCAAGATGGAGGGATAAAAGAAGAGTGTTCCAGAGTTTGGAACAGAGGGCACAAGGAACAAGTAGGAGGCCGGAGCGGAGGGTTGGGCGGGGAAGCAGGTCGAAGAGGTTGGGAGGTGTCAGGGCATGAAGGGATTTGAAAACGAGTGTGAGGATCGTGAAATGGATCCGTTCAGCGAGAGGAGGCCAGTGGAGCGTGGCTAGAGAAGTACATCACAACACTAATACTATATTTTTGGCATGATTCAAGGCAGGATTAGATTGGATGTGTGTAATCATATCTGAAGGTGTGACTGCAGTTTAAATTTAAGTTGCTGCAGGCCTGAGTTTAAAAACAGTGATGTCAAGATGCAGCAGCCTTTACTCCCATGTAAAAAATCTGAATAAGCATCTAGAGTAGCTCATTTAAACAATACATTGTATTTTGCAAAAGCCCTAAATTCAGAATTGAAACCTAATTTACTGAGTGGCTTGAGAGCAAGAAACCGAAGCTTTACTGACGTTTCACCCACAAAATATAGTCAATTCAGTATATTCTGTGAAACTCTTTGAGATGTCTCCAAGACGTGATAAGGCGCTATATCAAATACAAGGATTATTATTATTATTCCAAAAAAGCAACTACCAGGCACAAGATGACGTGCTTAAAACAACCAGTCCTGTCCTTCCTGAAACAATTAGAATAAATGAACTCTACTAGGAGGGGTAGAAGGGGAGGGGGAAGGGTAGAAGTGGGAGGGGAAGAAGGAAGAGGGGGTAGAAGGAGTAAAGAAGAAGGAGAAGGGGTAGAAGAGGAAGGGGTAGAAGGAGGAGGAGGGGAAGAAGGATTAGAAGGGAGGGGTAGAAGGAGGAGGGGTAAAAGGGAGAAGGGTAGAAGGAGGAAGGGGTAGGAGGAGGAGTAGAGAAACTCAAGGGAATACAGGCCAAGTTGATGCAACCTAATTTAACCCTTTAAGCCCTCATGTTTGTGGGGCATTGTTGTGCATAAATTGGCTGTCACGTTCTCCTTCACAGCCACTGTACTTCGCAGTAAATCCTGTGAAGGGCTTTGAGCAATTTCAATGACGTGTTAAAGCACTATACTAAAAATGCAACGATGATTGAAGAATTATTTTCTATTGTTTGATAATTTGACCAACCTCAATTTATATTGAGATTCTTTTATGAGATTTACTGAACAGGTCTGGATGAGATAACAAAGAACTCTTCCATAAAAATAAACCGATGAGTAATATAATACCAGGCCTTCATCATAGCTGTGTATGCTTTGTACAGAGAAGGAAGTTTCTCCTGGTCTGGCCAACAATCCCCAGATAAAATTGGGTCACATTGTGGCTGATGCTAAATTAGCAACTTTGCTCACCTGCAAAACCCACAATCAAGTCTGTGAAGTGTTTTGAGATCTCCTCAATGTGAAAGGTGCAAGGATTATTTTTGTTTACCTTATTTGTTGCATGCCTTGGGCTGTCCTCCTGATGTGCAAGGTACAATATAAATTTAAATTGGTATTGAATTGAATCCTATCCAACCGTAGAATGATTTTTTTGAAAATGAGACCAAGACTGCACATAGTAATCTAGTGGTCTGAATTTAGCTGGTGTGAATAATGTTAGGGATTTACTTAGGTGCATAAACGTGAAAGAGCTGGGAAAGTGACTACATAATTTCCATGAGTTGATTTTAAAAAATTGGTAGAAAAAACACAAAAATAAGCTGATTTGCTTCTAATAACATCTACATTTTTTGTTCTTATCCAACTCTAGGTATAGTTCTATGTAATAATAATAATAATAATCCTTACATTTGATATAGCGGCTTATCACGTCCTCGAGACATCTCAAAGCGCTTCACAGAATACACTGTAAAGTGAATTGACTGTATATTTTGTGGGCGAAACACAGCAGCCAATTGCACACAGCAGTGTCCCACAAACAGTGGTCGATTGAGTGACTAAATTGTTATTACTAATTTTTTTTTGAAGGGATTATTACCCGCAGAAAAGTGATCCGCAAATCGATTAACAACCGGGTTTATTTACTGCTAGGTAAACAGAGTCCTCTCGCTTGGGTTTCAAAGACTCCACACTTTTCAGTTTACCGAACAGTATGTACGAACCCTGTTGTTAGTGGATTGGCAGATCGCTTTCCCGGGAGTAATAATCCCTTCAAAAAAAATTGGTCACGCAATCCACAACTGTTTGTGGGGCACTGCTGTGGGCAATTGGCTGATGGGATTCACCCACACAATAGTCAATTCACTTTACAGTGAATACTGTGAAGCGCGTTGAGGCGTCTCGAAGACCTGATAAGGCGCTACACCAAATGCAAGGATTATTATTATTATTTATTATCCAGGACGACCCTGGGGCTATAAAATTAGACACAGTGTTGCAGCAGGAGTGAAAGAAAAATGGGCACCATTTGTAGGTTCCTGTTGCAGGTCATCAAGTCCCTCCTGAAATCACTTCCAGTGCTTCCTGTATGCTGGATGTGTATCGCTCTCTGGAAACCATGGTCCACAGGAGAGACAGGCATTATAAGCACACGTGTACACTAGAGACATGAGTTACAGCAGGATAATAACGTCCAATACTGAATTAGATGAGAAGGTGTTACATGATGTCATGTAATATAAGGAAATGATCAATAATGCTAATATGAAAATGTGTCAATATGCTAGAGAATAAAATCTTTCATGTGCAATTAAGAATTGAAAGATTACTTTCAGCTCCATTTACTGTACCACTCTGACTAAGTAAAATCTGAGCAAGTGACCTTGAACCCTGTATGAAGCATCTATGCACCACAAAAATAGCAGATTGTACAACTCAGCAAAAATAACAAATAAAAACAAAATATACAGTCAATTCACTTAACAGTATATTCTGTGAAGCGCTTTGAGATGTTTTGAAGACGTGATTAGGCGCTATATCACATGCAAGGATTATTATCATACATTATTTCATTAACTAGAGGAGAGTCAAGCCGCAGGTCACACACTGCAATTAGTTTATAGTATCTAGTCCAACAGTATAAGGAAGGCCAGGAACTTGCTGTGTCGAGAGTTGTGGTTGAGGAATGTACTTGCAATCACTCTCCAGGACATGCACTGCAACATCAAACTGTTTCTCCTCAAACCTGCATAATCTTTTTTTGCTGCAAAACATTTAAACTGTAATAAACGATTTTATGCAATGCAATAATACCTCAGTGGTAAGAGTGGGAAACTTTTTGCTCCACTACATGGACACGCCTTATAGTAATGAGCATATAGGCACTCGCCCAAAACGATTACTGTAATAATTAATATGGAACTAGATTTGTTTCTATGATTGACTGGAAATTCTAAGCACTTACAAAGTTGAACAATAGATCATTTTCTATTCATCTCTTCCAGTCGTATTCTCCCCTCCAATAATAGTAAAAAATAATAATCCTTGCATTTAATATAGCATTTTATCAAGTCTTCGAGAAGTCTCAAAGCGCTTCACAGAATATACTGTAAAGTGAATTGACTGTATATTTTCTGGGCGAGCTGTGACAGTTAATTCTGTACTGTCCACTCATTCGATTTTGCTCACTCCTCAGTCCTTCTGTCTCACTATAACTTCAGCCACTATGTCTCTGCCTCTGGAACTCCTCACCTTGAGTTATACAAGCAGATGCTACTATTCATGTGCTGTTATTATTGCACAATCTCTGCTAACACTTTCATCACTTTAATATTTCAATATTTATTAAAAATAATAATAAAACAGTCCCTGCATTTGATATAGCACCTCATCACATCTTTGAGATGTCTCAAAGCGCTTCACAGAATATACTGTAAAGTAAATTGACTGTATATTTTGTGGGTGAAACACAGCAGCCAAATTGGGCACAGCAGTGTCCACAAACAGTCGTGGATTGAGCGACCAGATTATTTTTGTTCAAACAGCTTTATTATTTTAAAACTGTACTAACTTAATTTTTTACAGTATAAATACATCATATATCCTGATAAAACATAACTATAAGAATAGAGGCCAATTCATCACTTTTAAAAGTACAGAATTTCTCACCTTCAGGTTTGTACAATTACATCTACAACTAATGCAAATCTTTTTGAAGAATTCACAACATTATTAATTTGTCATAAATAAGGCAGGATTCAAGCAACGTTCTAGCCCAAGTAACCCTTTAAACTCACTGTCTGGACTCAAACATAAAGAGATAGCCCTAAGCGAATGATGAACTGGAGGCTGTCTGATCAGTCCACTCAGTGACTTAGGATTAGACAAGAGAAAATCAGAGAAGAGAAAGACCTCAAAGAGGAAAAAATTTAGAATCTATCACTCCAGGGTTATACTCCAGTGTTCAATTGGTTAATCAATCATACCCAGTCATAGTCCTGTAGCTTAGTGCTTAGAATACTTGCCTCACAAGTGAGAGGACCTGGGTTTGATTCCCGGGAGGGCGAAACGTTGAGCAAGTTTTCTTACTCCACACGCCTCTGTTTACCCAGCAGTAAGTAGAAACCCAGTTATTAATCAATTGGTAGATTGCTTTTCTGGGGATAATAATGTCTTCAAAAAAAAAAGATACTAATTTGGTCTCTCAATTCATGACTGTTTGTGGGACACTGCTGTACG